ACACACACACACACACACCTCAGCTATAAATACACAAACATGTTTGACACCATTAACGAGGAGTGGCTCAGAACTTTTGCACAGTTAAGCTTATAATTCATAGAAAACGTCTACACCAGGCTTCGTTCATGCAAAAATCAAACCATCGTAAATGTTTACTCTGACGTTTGTTCTGTAGAGTCTGGCTGAAAGAGGGAAGCTGCTGTGAGGAAACATAAAGAAAAACAGTCTGGTTGCATAAATGTGGACACCCTGAACGTAATCCTTCAGTGAGGCAGGAGTGTCTGCAGACACTCGGACATTTGTTCACTCCTCAGTCCAAAGCTGAATGTGAGGTGAACCTGTGAACAACTCTTCATGTTAGCACAGCCTTTCTTTCAGAGCATCAGAACCTCGCTTTCCTTCTGATGAACTCATTCTTTGTTCGTTTAACGCCACAGCTCAGGGCTGTCTGTAGCTCAAATTATTTAAACGAGTGAAGCATCAAAGAAAGTGTCCTCAGAAAGGATCAAAGCCACTTCRGGAGACTTGAGCAGTTTTTCCTGGAATGACTGCAGACCTAACAGCTCCTGTCTGAGAAAACCTCTGATTTAAAGTCTGTCCCTGTCTGAGTCCTTCACACTCTGCTCCAGAGTCTGTTTGCTCAATGCTAATGGTGTGTGTGTGTGTGTGTGTGTGTGTGTGTGTGTGTGTGTGTGTGTCGCTCACTCTCCGCTGATTGCAGTGCCTGATGGAATTATCATATTTACAATGAGACCTTTCTATTCTAAGGCTCAGGCTTTGTGCAGCGGCGGCTGATGAACACMGACAGGATGCAGACAGGAAATGTCAGCAAACATGACGGACAGCAGAGGAAGAGCTGAGACTGATTTCTGACTAAATAAAGAATTTAACTAAAAATGTCAAATGGCAGTGATTGTAATCTAAAGTAATAAATGACTCTTTTATTTCAAATCTGTTTATAAAATCTAATTCCACTGAATGACTTGGCTGACATTCAATGCAGAAACTGTATTAACGCTAAAAGAAGCAAAAAAAAAAAAAAA